TTGGCTTCACAGGTACGTTTTTAGAATTCCTAATGAGCTATTTATCTGAATGAATCAACTTGTGAAATTGGTGACATTAAGAGTAATCTACTCGAGATTATAACTATGGTGTTCTTCAGGGATCTATACTAGTTCTGCTACTGTTTAATATTTATGTAAATGAAATTGGTAACTTGAACTTCTCTTCACATGTGTTTCAGTATGTCGACGATACAACTATGACGTACTGGCTGAAAATGACGAAATTGAAACGGTGTTGTCACTTCAGACAGATATATACAAGCCGATAGAATAGTTTGAAAGCAGTAATATCTTTGTTATTGTAGACACAACTAAATTAATGTGCTTACACAATCCTCAAAAAACATTAAAACTTACTATATTTTGGTTCTACATCGGTCAGATTGCCAAAATTGTAAATCTACCCCAATGGTGTAAGCATTGTCAGTAAAATATCTGGGTCTCTTTTTTTATCAACATCTCTCCAGGAACACTCATATAGACTATTTGGCGAAATACCTAAGAACTGTATCTGCCTTTTCATACAGCTTAAAAAGTAGAACGAATATGTCTGATAATAAGGATACAAAACTTGAAAGTATAAAACAGAGAGGACGAGGACGGGAACAGGACATCTTTCATTCAGCAACAACATAGAATGGCACAACGATAAAAACCGCCCCCCCAAGGATCTCAACGTTCTCAAAGAGAGAAAGGAGTAAAACCTCGTTATAACAAAGTTGAGGGACATGTCGTAATTATTTCGTTATAACCATTAGTTTGTTATAGCCAATGTCCATTTTTTCCCTCTATTAGCAAGCAAGGGGAATTATGATTGCTTTGTTATATCCATTAGTTTGTTATATCCCATTTTGTTATAACGAGGTTTTACTGTACTAGTTATAAGGGAAAGGGAATACACTAAATAGAAAAGTTTGAAAAGTGCATCAGTAATCTAGTTATCTCCGATTACTTAGAATAGAACCTTTGTCATTGTCAGTGATAATGCAGAATTATTCTTGTTTGCAGTCCACAAAGGGAATTGTACTATAAATATAAGAGTTTAAAAAGCTGTAGCGTCACGACGAGGTGTCAGTATTCTAGTCATCTCTGGTGTTAAGAATTCAACCTCTGTCACTTATATAAGGGTTTACCAAGCGTTGGGAGTCAGTGCACTGGTACAGTTTGACAATTTTCGATTCTTGCTCTGAATATTAAAAAAAAAATTAAATTAGATGATATTTTACATAAATAGAAATATAGCATATGGAACAAACTGGAAAGAGCCATGAATCGAGTTAAAAATGTGTTATGAATTTTGTCTGTTAGAAGGGTATAGTGTATGTGGTACTAGTAAAACATTACTACAATAGCAATTCGAAGTAGGGGTGTCGCGAATTTTTGTCGAACCAGATTTTTAGGTCGAACTTTCGGGGTTCGACTGTGTCGAACCCCGAATTTTTGTCGAACCGGTTTGATGAACCTTCAAACTTTTCACCAGATTCGACCGGTTCGACTTTGTAGACAAAATGGCCTGACCTTGATACAAGCAAGTCTAGGTTTGATAAAATTTTTTATATGCAAAAGGTTATTTTAATTTAATGAACAGCTGCAATTAAAATAAACTAATTCTAATCACTGAAGAAGTTAATAAATTAATTTTCTTGTACTGTATTAACTGAAATAACCAATCAGTGCTGCCCTTAATTCACCCCTTAGCCATCACCATCCAATTTGAAGCCAACTGGCCAGCTTGTCGCACAGGCGCATAGCAGTCGAACTTCAATACAAGATTCGTCGAACTTTCCACTAGAAGTTCGAAAAAGTTTAACCTGGTCAAACTCGAACCTCGGCTGGTTCGCGACACCCCTAATTCTAAGCAACCTCTAGAGAAGAACAGCTAGGGTTTTGAGGTGAAGTGATCGGTTCACTCTACCGAAAATATACACAAATCATTTTATGTTCTGCATTATTTTAACATTGTGCTAAATGATATCTTACAGTTGCAGTCACTGAGAGGTAAAAAGAAAAGATATGGGAGTAGTGTTGCATTTTTGAGTTTTAAATTGCTCTATGGGCTTTGTATTTTTTTTTTTTTATAGTGAAAGTGTAGATATTTTTATATTCTGACGATTTGTTGGGTCCCGTACAAGCATTCCTGTGCTTTTGTGGGTCCACTTGATGTGTTGTCTTTTTCATAAAGCAAATTTAAAAAAAGTAAAAAAAAAAAAAGAACTAATGGTTTTCCGACAGCTGAAAAGGCAAGGCAGCCGTCGCTACTACTAGCAGACCACACATTCGGGTATTTTCTTCATCCTCCAATCGCGGCTCAGCATTGCAACGCCGCTGCTGCCTGCCCTTTGTGCAAGGAGTGCACGAACTTGCTCGTTGTATTGCAATTGACATAACCTCAAGACTAAAAGACTGTAAGAGTGGGATTCATACCTGCTACCTACCCCAAGGTGAAAAATGCTTTTGTCATTTCAGTTTTGGCTCTCGCGGACACTTTTCGGGTTAAGGGCCGTCTAAACGAAACAGCAGACGGCGTGCTGCGACGCGGCGTTGGCAAATGCCGTGAAAGTTGCTGCACGTGCTTTCGTTTTCAGCTTGGGCATTGACTGCACAAACAGCACGGCTTTCCTTCTTGCGTCGTCAATGTCGTCTCTTCCTCTCCGTTTTCGGGAGATTGGGGACCGACGACGATGGCGGATGCCTCCATGACAGCCAGCCAAGTGCGTGAGCGGCTGTCAGCACCCACGTGATGAGCACACTCCAAACCTCTGTCCAAGGATGCAAGCGGAGGCAAGCTTTCTGCTTGGCAAGAGAAACATATAAAAGCAGACCAGAGTACTGCATATGCCGTAAATTTATAAAACACTTCATTGACCGCATGCGGGGAAATATATGCCATCTGTCGCGTCCAGTTGGGCACCTCTTAACTTAAACAGCGATGCCAGTCAAGCTGGGGCAGTGCAGCTATACTGATGCGACAAATTCAGACAAAAAAACATTTTTTTTATTGAATACACACAGAGCAAAAAGAACGCAATGGGGTGCTCCCTAATCGATGCCGATCGTCGGCCCTTCACACTCGTCATTGTGCCGGCACGCGTGATTGATATGTATGACTATAGAGTCGTCCTCCATGTACCGTGACAAATGGCGCGTGGCAGTGCTTGCCATTTGTAACGTACGATACCACGCAACGAATGGAAAATGCTTTGACCTTTGTCGCGCGGCATCTTTAAGCTGGGTCCGTGGCCGTGTCTGAACTCTACACGCGTTCGCGACACGAGCTTCCGCAGAATTGGAGTCGGACGTGCAATCGCCGAATGATGCGGTGCGTTTGTGGCAAGATTCCAGGTTTGTGCCTCGGTTTATGAAACCAAGAATCCCGTACAAGGTTAACCTAGTAGTTGCAAAGCGGGAACCAAGGTTATAATTTGTTACTGGAGGCCAGACACGTGGGCAGAGAGGGCCTACCGTAATATCCCGAGAGATGGCCCACTTAAAATCGAGAGCAAATCAGGTGAAAATAAGGAGTGGGCTAACTTTCGCTGTACAATCGAGTTGAAAAAATATTAAATTTAGATTTCGTGACCTTTGAAACCTGCGATTGCAGGGACGGGCGATAAACCAAAGACAACTATTTTTCCCAGTCAGCAATGCTCGTTTATATCTCCCGTCTTGACCAGGTGAAACCATTTTAGTCAAGTTCACTGTTGGCCAGGGCCCTGCAATTACACGAAATAAGCTATCTTATAATGATTTTTGAAAAAAAAAAAAAAATCTTGCAAAAGTAGGGGTGGGTTACCTTTCGGGGGGGCTATCTCACGGGATACTACGGTACTCGTTTTGCTATCGGTACGACCAGTGGGCATTCACGGTAGTAGAAGTTTTCGGTATCCGATAATTGACGTGATAAAGGAGAGACGCATACCGCCTGTACCAGTCTATGTCGCCAAGGTCGGTAATGCGCTTCTGCCCATTTTGTTGCACTAGCAGTTTCAATGGTAGTCTTCCAGCCATGCTAGAAAAACGGGGAAAACCGGCGACTGCATGTCCATGCTATGTCTCTGACTAAGCGTTTGGCCTTTGTTCACACATGCATCGCACTGCTAAATCAACACTGGAAACAGCGCTGAATCAGCGCTGGCTGGAAGGTAACTTAGTGTTGATGCAGCACTGCATTACTAATACAGTGCGAAGCGAACACTGCATTAGCAAGGTCAACGCTATTTCCAGCACTGAGGTAGCGCCGTGCTGTATGTGTGAACGGGTTTCAGATACGGCTCCTCGCTAGCAGCTATAACTTTGCCAATACGCAATTGCAAAAAAAGTTACTGAGACAAAAGGTTCAACTAAGGATGCATAAGGATGCAGTTATTGGCAAGTGTGCCGCACACGAGGCAAGCACCAGCTTTGTTTCATCTACAATGCACAGATTACAATGCGTTCATTTTTGGAGCCGCACCAAAATGAGTGACTGGGCCAGTGGGGCAAAGCCCGTCCGAAATACTGGGTCCCGTCAAAGAAGATGTTGAAGCGAGTCTCGGAATGCAACTGGACGCAGAATGCACGGGGCACTTCTAAACTGGCTCGCTTATCGAAGCGCACAAAACGAACCGCCGAGGCGTCGTTCACACTTGCCGCACAGACGCGCAAGTAACAGGAAGTAACTGAAGTAATTGGCAGAAAACGTGCTTGGGGTTTGGCATCCTGTCTTTGGTAGGCTGACTTCTTTTTCCTTCGGCATGGGAGCGCGACAAAGTTTCGACGTCTGCTGCGGGCGAGCCTCGACGCGACGTCCAGTTCATTTGGATTACGCAGAAACGCAAAAAAGAGAAAACTAGTAAAACAATTAATTATCGGAAGGTTCGCTCTAAAATGGCAGTGCGAAAGTTGTAAACAAAAGCATGTATGTACAAGATTAGCATTTGCATAATGCCCCGCACAACGTGCGTACCGAGAGTCAGTGATGCGATTCGCGGAAAACAAACAAAAAAAAATCCGTACAAAAGGTGTCTTGGAACTGAGCGTGTGATGTGGGGAAGTGAGCCTGTGAGGTTGTATGAGTTAGCTACACGAGGGGCTACGGCTCGGTGAAGCGAGGTCTTTTGGTTGACGGCAGCACGTTGAGTAACTGCACAACGAACCAATAGCTGGGCACTGTTTCTAACGGCAAGTGTCGCATGATTGGCTAGTCTCGTCCAACCTAGTATTATGCAGTTTCGAGCGTCTGACTTTCCTCGCACAAAAAATCAGAGTCGATGTGCGGGTCGGATCACAAACAGACTTCAGGTGCATGTCTAGCTGCTTCGCACTGTAACTACGAGAGATCATTTCGCGAGCATAAATAAAACGACGCTGAATGTAACGCAGGATGAGGCGCAATGGCTTGCCGCGATGCCCTTCCCGAGGAGAACCTGTCTCTCTGTGCGTTGCCGACGGTTTTCGCTTGCTGCAAGTCAGAATTCCCAGATAAGCGAGGCAGTCAACAGTCTAGGCACGCGCAAAGATGCACTGTCACGCTGCCCAACCTTTAACATTTGTATATATATATATATATATATATACTATATATAGCATTTGAGTTAGATTATCTCGGGAGAAAATGCAATGGCTTAACAAAAAAAAGTTGCGCCGGTCTACGGCAGCCACTTCCTAAACACGCGCAAATCGTTCGTCAACAGCTCGACGTCTCGCATCCGCGTTCTCCTCGAAGAAATGTCCGATGGTCTTGAGCACGTTCGAAACAGTTTGCAACGTTCCAAAACAAATCTCGGAACCTCGATGTGCTTCGTCTCTGAGGAGACGACGACTTTTCTTCAGTTGGCGCGCACGTTTGTGGACTAGCGCCATTGCAGACGACGTGCCGAAGTTGCAGATGACGAGCCAACATGGCAGACGACAAGTTGACACGTCAGGCGCCTTCCTTCAGCTCCACTTCGACAAACTCTCCGAGGGCAGACAGTGCAAACTGCAGGCGACCGCGAAGCGAGTCGTCGCAGCCGTCACGCGCGACGTCTGCGAGGGCGTACGCGGCTGCACGGCGCTCTTCGTCGATGTAGAGGAGAACAGGGCGCTGGTGGCGGTCCGCGTTGATCACCAGCTTGGTATGGTCCTTGAAGAAGTTCACCTGCATTGTGGAAGAGAACGAAAAAAAGAAGGCTTTAGAGTCCGAAATATGGGAAGCTAGAAAACTGTGTATCGGTTGACCATGAAAAAATTAAGGTGCTCCTTTCATCTACTGAACAGGCATTCCATATAAAAAAAATGCATTAGCACTATATATTCCAATCCGGGCAGCGTGATGTCACTTGACGTCACAGCATCGAGTTGGTGTTATATGATATTCGAGTTACTAGCCAACGTACTAGATTACCTCAGTTGTGGAACTCCTGCAGAGGGGTGTACCCCCCTCCTCACCCCCGTGCCATACACATCCCATCGTTTGAAGCGCCATCTAGATTTTCGTTTCAAAACTGTGTGTTCTATAGCGTACGGTTAGTACCATCTAGACGCTGTGCTTCGAAACATAATATTCCATAGAATACACTGCAGTTACCATAGCAGCCATCCCCCAGAAACGGTTGCATGTCGAACGACGGGAGGTGAGCCGTGGGGAAAAGAGGGAGTACCGCTCATGCAAGCGGCGTCTGTGGGCAGTCCCGTACCTGAGCTAATCTAGTAACGTTGATTATCGCACGACGTCACGCGATATAGTGACGTTGTCCGAGCTGATGTCATGCAAAGCGGTCACATGATGCGAAGGCATGTTTCACTACAACTTGACATCCAACGCTAGTAAATCTAATGTTGACACCGTGACGACACGTGACATTGCAACTTTGCACTGTAACTTGTGACACCACAATGTCACGTGACCTAACGGGGCCTGATGCACATCATGGGGTAACATGACTCTACAACCCATAACGACACCATTCGTGTGAACCACAGTGGCATACTGAGAAATTTAGCAGGATGTTAGCCAACTAAATTTAGCCGCTAACACCGTTAAAAGCTACTGCACTGTTATCCGCACTGTAAACCTATGAGAACAGCAATGCAAGACAAATTCCAACTTTTATTTCATTTAATTGCATTCCACACAGGGGCAGATGCAGGAATTTGCTGAGGGGGGGTCAGGTGTTGGTCAGCGTACTATATGTTTAGGAACCCCTCCCCGACTCCTTCATTTTACGCCCTAAATTTTACACATGCAGAAATCAAGAGGGGGGTCAGGACATCCAGACCCCCCCTTTAAATCCGCCCCTGATTCCACATTAAAATGATGCAAAAGGACAACATACACAGCAGGTGGGAACTTATTTCGGAAGGTGAACAGCAGTATGTATAGATGCAAAACTTCAACTAAAGTTAAATACATAGAAGAAAAAAAAAGTTTGTATTATTTAAAGGGCAACTCCGCTCAATTTAAAAAAATTTTAGGCTTATATGTGATTCCATTTCCCAAACCACTACTAAACAGCCCTACATGTTCGGATTTGCGAAATGTGGAATATTATTTGTGTAATCTTAATTTAAACATCAGCAGATACCGAAACCGAAACTTCGGGTGCGTCAGGCAACGTTGGTCTTGTGTCGTCAGAGTCATGGCCACGTCACATCGAACCACGTGGTCCTGTGACGTTCGTGAGGGCAAGGCACAGGACACAAGACGCGAGCAGGCCACTTCGAATGGCGCAAGCAGCGACGGCCGGAAGAGTGGAGAAACCGGACATGCGAACAAGTTGGGATGGGTCGGGCATCATGGGAAGCGAGTCCGAGCGGGAAGACGCGGCAAAAAAAGTGCCAGGGAGCGCGCTGGAGAGAACGCAGGAAACAATGCACCAGAGAAACACAACGAAAAGGCCTCCCGCTGGCGTCAGCGCCCTAGGCCCCTGAGCCTTGAGAAGCCCGAATCGCTTCAACCGCAAGGCCATTTGCTAGTGCCAGCGCTTCAAGCCCCAGAACCCTGTGAGCCTGACCAGAGAAACACAAAGGCCACTCACTGGCGTCAACTCCCCAAACCCCCAAACCCTCCGAGCCCTGAGAAGCCTGGATTGCCTCAATCGCAAGGCCACCCGCTAGTGTCAGCGCTCCAAGCCCCTGTACCCTGTGAGCCCCGGAGCCAACTCGCCCACGCACCAGCACAGTGACGAACAGCCCGGGACCCACCCCTTCAGAACGCCATGACAGTCAGTGAGCTGCGGGCGGCCCCAGCACCGACTCCTATCATTACTAAACAGTAAATATTGTTTTCGCCTCGTCCCTCCTCACCTCAGCGTGGGCCCACCACAGCGTGTCAGTGCCTCCCCTACGGGGGTCGTCACAGTCTCAAAGGTTACGTGATCTTCTATTCGATAGCGGGCGAACGTAAAGCAAAGCACAAGTGTTGTCTGCTCCGCAATTTTTGCCAATGTAGTTTGCTACAACATTGTGTGTAAACTTGTGAAAGACACTTCCCGGGCTGGTCAACTGATAATTCGAAAATAATGGCTAGTTGGTTTTGCATCATGGTGTAATACGCCAAAAAAAAACAAGGACGAAAACGAAGGAAGAACTGGACAGGACGCCGCGTCCTGTCCAGTTCTCCCTTCGTTTTCGTCCTTGTTTTTTGGCGTATTACATCATGATAATTCGAGCGGGCAGCAATTAACACAACACCATGAGCCTATGGATCTTTGGACATTCATCGCAGCTAGGCATCAGAGATGCAGCCTGCGCTTGTATCAAAAACAAAACGTCTCCTCAAGCTACAGCAGTGGCGAGATGAAACAGACTGCTCCCAGCTCTCAGCTCCGAGGAGCGTGCAGAACAGCGCAAACTACAGCATCCGTGTTACGGTGATCACGTGGACACCATTGAGCCAAAACCGGAAGGAGAAACTCATAACGTCATCGTTCAATTTCGCTCTGAGAAGTAAACTAAAAAACAAACAAAATGTGAGAATGACGTAGACATGCCTCTGACGTAATGGCTCAATGTTGGTTGCTCCAACTCTGTGGCATTGACTGCGCTGATGATTGCGCCTCACGTCGCACGCTAGAGTTGGTAGATTTCGGCGACTTGGCTCATTTGAAAGTTTGCTGGCCAGTTTACTAGATATATAGACGGAATTAGATTGTATTATTTTGCATGTGGTCTTCCTATATGATATTGAAGAGGGCTGCATAGTTTTCTACATATCAAAAATGAAGCGGAGTTCCCCTTTAAGGACTTGCTTTTTTCCAATTTTTGATAGCCACATATTCTTTGCACTAATGACTTTCAACGAGATTATGCTTTTGTCGAGATAACAACATAGTGCCATCTGCTGGGCAGCCATAGTGACCAAGTGCAAATGAATGCTTCTGGTCCTGAACCAGATTTGGGGTTCTAAAGTACTTGTGGAATAAAATCTGCACATGAACTATGAAAATGGTCACTTATAACATTTTCAGAATCCTTTCAAGCCTTATGGCAAAAGAACAATGCAACAAGGTTATAAAATATAAGGTGTCTCGAGCAAACCTTTTGCCGTAAAACGAGCCGCAAAAATCAGTGCCTGCACCGAGCAGGTCAGTATTACCGTGCCAAATTCCAAGGCGTAGTTCTCTCGCTGTTATAAATGAGACCAAAAAACTTGCCAAAGTCCACGGTTAGCCCCTTCGCATACGACTGAGTTGCCGACGCTAGAGAGCCTACATTACAGAGACTTTCCAACCGCTCAATCGGGGTCATGTGATTTATGGGCCCATTGGCAACACGAGCTGCGAGGAGGTGACGAACCCGTTGGTCGTCCGCAAGCATCTCCGCCTTTCCGCCCGCTTTCCTCCTTGCCACGCGAAACCAAAGAGCATGCGTCTTTGCGACCGATCTCCGCCGTTAAATTGCAAATGCTCCCCGTGGTTTCAGATGGACCCTCTCTACAATCTAGGCTCAGCAACAGGGTGAGTCGTCCGCTCGCTGCACCTATCGGGAGATGGCGCCACAAGTTCAATGCAAGGATCTTGACGTTGAAAGAATTTGCATCTACTACTTTTGACGTTGTTTACCTTGTCACAAAGGACAGAAAACGCATCTCCTTCCTTCGAAAGGTTGCAATTTCGCGGCGTAATCGCGAGGCAAAAATTAAAATATTTCCCGGCCTGCAGCCGCGAGTGGTGGCCATGAGAACCACACGGCGTGACGTCAAAGGTGGACTTGTCAAAAAGTGGCAAGTCGTGCAAGTACCTGCTCGATAAAAGGTAACTTTTCTATAAATCTTGTCGTTCCAACAAAAAATATAAATGCGTCAAAAACCTGGTATGATTGACATAACTTTTATTATACAGAGTTTTAGTGGCACCATCTATCCGAGGTCAACAAAACTGCCAGCGCTATCTGCTACCCCGAACAGCCACCAGAAGCCGGAGGGGGACGGGGGCGGAGCCACTAGGGGATGGCCGGACCTGGACGAGCACGTTATCTCACCTGCAAGGTGGTGCAGCTCAGCTGCATGACTATGGCGTGGGCTGTGCGCACCCAGCGCTTCATGAATGGAATGCATTTCTTCTTCTTGGCAGCATCGGTGGGCTGGACCACGTCACCTCCCTGTTGACAGAACAGGACGAGCGGCCACTGCTCGTTTGTAAACAGTCGGGTGAGGAGTCAACTACGCCTTTGCATTAGTGACGTGCGCCATGGCACTCGTGCAAAGCGTGACATAGTATATGGAATTAACAGTGTTATATTTGGTTCAAACGTGAAGCTAGCTAGCTAGCTAGCGAGTGTCCGACACACAGAAAGAGAAAAATAGTGCTGCACCATCTTTCCTTACAATTTTTAGTCTGGTAAAATGTCTGTAGTTGAAAACTTTTGTCAGAAGGGCTCAATATTTCGAAACGCTGGCTGTAATTGGTCCTGTCAGTCTGGGAATCTTCAGTGGCTGCAACGTAGTTACAATCATATATCTTAACTGCAGGAAATGTTAAATCTATTTTTGGCGAATTGTGTTTTTTTTTTCTATGTATTTGGCATTCTTTTGCACCAACGTCAACGTTTTTGTCTTCCTTACGTTTAAGCATTACCTTTGATGGATATAAATATGCCCGAGTGCTCTTATGCTTTAATGTTGCTCCACATTAACATTCCAACGCTTCATTTAAGAGTAATTGTGATTGTACATCATGCATGGTTGGTATTTTGACCAATTTTTCTTTCTAAGGGCACAATAAAAATCCAACAGGTCAGACAGAAAAAAACAAAGATGTTAACTCCAGAGCTGAAAAAATGGGATATACCGGGTGTTCGTTTTTAATTCGAACAGATTTATTTTAAAAAATCCGTAAAAGATGGAATGATATGGTTTGTGCAGGTGAGTTATATGGCCAGGGGGACATTTTATAGGGGGCTAATCGTAACGATCAGTTGGCTAATTAATTAAAATTTGTTAATTAACTTTTTAATTAATGAAAATAGACATATGGTTCCAATTAGAAACTTGCACAGCGTCACCGAAAACCACTAAATCAGTCATTTTCAGAAAGACTTTGAGCGCGTGAAAAGCGTAGTAGTGCACTAAAGTTACGGCTCGTGGAGCAGATACAAGGCTGGGGCTAGATAAGAGACGGAAAAATCGCGCGGGCGCCTTACCGCAACCGCTAGCTTTGTACATGCTCCACGAGTGGTAACTTTAGTGCACTACTACGCTTCTCACGCGCTCAAAGTCTTTCTGAAAATGACTGATTTAGTGGTTTTCGGTGACGCTGTGCAAGTTTCTAATTGGAACCATATGTCTATTTTCATTAATTAAAAAGTTAATTAACAAATATTAATTAATTAGCCAAATGATTGTTACGCTTAGCCCCCTATAATATGTCCCCCTGGCCGTATAACTCACCTGCGCAAACCGTATCAGTGCATCTTTTACGTATATTTTTAAATAAATCTGTTCGAATTAAAAACGAACACCCGGTATATATATGGGAATTGTCAATGACTCAATGGATATACAGCTCTAACAAAGAAATTGACCATTTCCCAAAAATCAAACATGCCAAATTTTGTTTATCTTTTCTAATGAATGGCATGTCACTGTTCTCCAAACTCAAATGCAAGAATTCTTAAATTTTGTAAAAAAGCCATTAATTGAGGGATACAACCCCTCATACCCCAGTCTTCTATTCAAGAAGCAACTCCAGCTAAAGTAACCAGGCATTTCATCACCCCCATAGTTTAAGCAAAGAAGATAGAACAAAAATCTTCCGCTTAGGTTTCCATTTGATCACTTGGTGTGCACTGTACTAAGTGCTTTAAGCATTCCTGGATTATTACTAGACTTAGTTCACCCCTAAGCTGACGGTGCGGTTATGTGCTCACTGGACCAGTCATAACCGTCTTTCGCCATCCCACCCATAGCCACACACAAAAAGCGGGATCAGGCAACGAGGTAGCTGATTGGTCCGGCAACTTAGGGGCGACAACCAATGGGTATGGAGTCCATATACTCACCTCAGTGAGGTTTTCGTCCATGTAGTGAGCAAAATACTTGAGCAGAGAGTACCTCTCCTGGAGGAAGGTTGGCAGTGCCAAAGCATCGTGCACCGTGAGTTTCCCCGAGGTGTCGTGGTACTCGATGCGCCTGCAACGTCGAGTTGTGATTGGCCGAGACTGAGGATCACCGACCTCGGACACAAGCATGCCTTCGTGATCGAAGACTGTGCGACTAAACCCACGCGCGTTCTGCTTTGAGCATGATATCACGTCCTTGCAGCACGACAAAGCTAACTTCTAAACAACTGGCGCGTGAACAAGCTATCAATAAATATAAAATTTTTCCTCTCGTACTAGTACTTATAGGCTCAAATTTGGCGTAAGGAAGTGATCGTCGACTAACTATCTCTGAGGAAACCTTCAGAAACTGTGTAGAGAGAATAGCGTCTTTCGTGTGCAGCAGAAACACTGCTTTCGTCTTTTTAGGTGGTGCAGTTGCAATTGGGAGGATCACATTCCCAGCTGTTGAGAGCTTACTAAAAAGATCTGTGCAATTTAAGAAACTGCAGAAAAAAGTTATCTCGATGCTATGGATACTCGATAGACACAAAATTCACTTTTGCGGCAATCTTTAAAGCTTGTGGCAAACTTTGCAGTTTTCTTTTTTTTTTTTCTTTTTATCATTTTTGATTGCACAAAGAGGAACCGAGAAAGAGGAGATGAGAGCATGCGGGAAAGTCGGAGTACCGGGCTCTGGTTGGAATGATTAGCGGGTAGGCGCAAAGATAGCTGCCACTGTCTCTACTCACTGCGCGGACGCAAACGCCAACGCCGGCATTCGTGGCCACCACTGCCCCTTTGCTGCAGTAACAGTGTGTTGGGCTCATAATCGTGGGATCGGGGGTTCCATTCCCGTTGGGGTGCATTCAAAATTTTGTCCTTTCTTCGCGATATAATTCCCATTTATTTTCAATTATGTGTTCTTTTGCACAGATTGTCAGGGTTGATCATTTGTGCAAAGCCAAACCAATTAAATCACAAGTGTTGTCACTTTTCCAGACCCTATATTGTTTAAACTAAGTTGCGCAGAGTTTATTTGTTAACTTGCTATTTCCTCGATGGCTTTCGTATTTTGAATACGTAACTGTTTTTGTTGATGCCCCGAGTCGTGACAAGTATCTAGGTATTTACCTTGAGCGTTCCACATTCTGTATTATTTGACATCAATAGATTTCGAGCATTGACGGGTCACTCGTTACCAGTATTGTATACACGTATGTATACATTGCAACACCTATCACTAGTTGTCATTTTGTTAAAATGAATGTATATATCACGACTTCTGCAACTTTCTTGCTTTCACCTTCATGTAACCTTTGAGGTAAAATAAATGAAATGAAATGAAATTATTCTGGCATCACTGGGACACTTTGCTATCATAGCATGTCATGCTTCGTCTGAACAATACCTTTGATCCGTGGAAAAGTTTTAAGGGAATTGTTTTTTCAACGGATGACGACTCACGTGCGATCGGCTGAGAGACCAAACCGAGTGGTGTCGTTGAAGAGGACGCCCACGCTGTGGTCGGACAGCTGGAAGCCGAAGCCATATTTGTTGGAGTAGTCGATCCACTTGGTTACAAAAGGGACCGTCACCCCTGGAAGGGCTACGGGGTTCTCGGTGGCATCTGCAATGCGGCGGCGGTTTGGACAATGTAATTAAGCACTCCACCATCGTCCAGCGAGCCCATTATTAATGAGAGACTAATTAAACACCTGCAAACTAGACTGACATCATTTTTATGTTGCCCTAACATGTATATGCATGTGCAAATGCTAAAGTATTCATCGTAGCTTCATTTTTTGTAGTGGTTTCTAGTAATCCCATGCAAGAATAAAGAAAATCATGTTGTCTGTACAGATTAGTATAAATTTGTTTTTAAAGGTACACTGACAGGGTATTTCTGCTCGCCAAGGTTTTTATTTGTACATGACATATGAGAGCCGAACCACCCAGAACTCAATTTGCGGCTCAAGTGTTTTGACACCAAATTAAATTACCTAGCAAAAAATTAAAAACAATTTTTTGAGGGGTGTCAGCGTTTCTTTAAATGGTCAATATTTTTGTTTTTGACAGCTTTCAAAATTCCGCCACTTCTGCGGTCCGCAAGAGGTGGCCAACTTTTTTGGTAAGTTTGTTTCTCGTTTTAAGGTGACCCAAGATGATTTCTTCATTAGTCAATCCATTATTGAAAGCTTTGCATTAGTTCCACACTAAATAAAAGAACTGCTTGAAAACTAGTGAGGAAATTGTATTTTCTACCCCACTGTAAACATAGGCTAGCATGCAAAATTGGCACCTCACCGTTTAAACTTTGGCAGATAGACATCGGACCACAACACATGCTCAACTATGAGGAAGAAAAACTTTTCATCTATTTCAAGAACCTACAGCACATCCACTCTCACTTATTTGAATGTCCAGTCAGATGGAAAATGATCCACAATGACCTGACTGCAAGAACTACCTGTGTTTGCTCGATTCGAAACACTGCCTAGCTACAGGCCTCCGCATTCCTAACGCCACAAACACTTGTAGAAATATCTGAATTCGCAGCTTGATTTCCCTTTAGGTCATTAGGGTGTGACGACATAAATCAGTTTTCATAATTACTTATAGCTCAAGAACCATAGTGAAAGAAGGTATACGGTGAGCAAGTGTTCTAAAATTCATCTTTTGCAAGCCAGAGCCTATAGAAGGGCAACATAAAGAATGCGTAGCTAACGCCCAGTGACGAGGTAGCCAAGCTCGTGCCAACATTGGTTAAGGTCAAGAGAAAAACAAATGCATGTGGGAGCATTTGGGAGGTAAATAAACGGACGAGGTGCGCAGGCAGATGAACTCCTTGCTGTATAGCTCCTCGTGAAATGTTAGTAATTTCCCCCCCTTTATGCTACGAATTAATACCCGTGCCACACGGGCAACTCGAATGCCATTTACAACGAAGGACATTTGAGTGGACGGCCAATCAGCATGCGACACTCCGGGCGTGGCGCATTCCACTCTCGACAGATTGCGAGCTGGTTCGTTGATCACACAAATGTCATTCGTTGTAAAAGGCATTTGAGTTGCCCGTGTGGCACAAGTATTAGACACTTGTATGGACACTTAAGTCTGCGATTTATTCTATGAAAACATATACACGTTCAAAATTTCTATCGTGGGTGGAAAACGCTTGATTAGGGCACCAATTTGGCAATGGGGCATTCCTCAACGAGTTACAAAAAGAAAAAGGGGAAAAAACTTGGCAGGGTGGAAAAATCATACTTTGGTTTCTAGGCCAGATGGCACAAGCTAAGTACAGCCTTTAGCGCTCATCCTTTCGGTAGGACGAGGGAAGGAATCGTGTGTTTCTGATCTTCAAGCAAGGTGGTGCAAGCTACTGCCCGTTATAAAAGGTACAGCCGTCAATCCATCCATCCATCCATACAGGCTCAACTGCCAGACGACCTACACACACCAGCCGCAATATGAGCAGCGCCCAGAGACTGTACTTGCGAATGTGCATAGTGGAAGCCAAACTTACAGGAGGGAGTATCTTCGAGGCAAGCCAGCAGCAGCTTGTGGAGGACAAGGGTGGGACTAGACTTGGTTCTTGAGCCTGCAACACAGCGTGCAGCGTGAGCCACTCAGTCAAACTCCAGCCACATCTACAAATCTGAGGGGCTGGCAAACATTCTGGGTTTCCCTGTCCATTTAGAACAAATGAAATATTTGACCATCGTCCGGATAGGTCAGAGAGATCGAATGAGGCCAGGTCATGTTCGTGTTGTCCACACTCTCAGCATTCTGTTTGTTAAAACTGTATTCCATTCACCTCTAAGCCAACAGTGCGGTGGGAGCTACGTGCACATCAAACCAATCGCACGTCTATCCTTCGCCACGTGGTCACGCTCCCACCCGTGCTCACGTAAAGAGAGAGGGGTTAGGCGATCAAAAGGAGGCGGTTCTTTAGTGTGGCGGGTCTGTACCTCCGACTGCACTCTTAGCTTAAAGGGGCAGTGCAACGATTTTAACGTCGAAAGAATTTGCAGCTTGTATTTTTTAAATTATTTATCGATCAACACAAGCGAGAGAAAATGCGACATCTTCCTCCGAGATGCTGCAATGCTGCCGCACAACGCAGAGGAAAAAAGAAAACATTTTGTCCCGATCTGCAGTTGCATGAGGCGGTCATTAAACCATGGTGTGACGTAATTCGAAATACACAAGTCTTTGTGGTGCCATCTATCAGAAGTCAACAAAACCATTTCCTCTGCATCGCTACCCTCCCTATTTTTCCTGTGGCAAACCATCTTTTGCCTCGATAGCTCGCCGCAACCTTTAAACATACTGAGCGGGTGCAGTGCTCTTTCGTAGCCGAGTCGGGGGCTTTAAAAAGTCGACGACTGCGGAGGGACGGCTGGGGGCCCTGAAGATGGAACCAAACGTGGTGCTCCCAGAGATATCGCTGCGCAGCTCACTCGAACGACGGTGCAAATTGAGGGACACTGCAATCCTTTGAATTGTATCCGAATTAGCTGCTGGGCTAGTTGGTAAAGCATTATAGAGGACAAGAGTGCAAAAGACACGGACAAGTAGAAGAACGGGACAGGACAGGACAAAGCGCTACTTGGCGTTTTTTTAATGTTAAAATGAACCTGGAGATTTTTAGTGATACAAAAGGAAGAAGAATGCTGCTGTCAAAGCAAAGAAACCAAGAAAATCCATTTTTACATACATACATTTTATGAGAAGCTATAAAAAAGAACAGGACGGGAAATGAGACTAGAGAAAAAAAATAAGAAAAAACAATCAGGATAAAAAAATAGAGAAAAAGAAAGAAGTTCAAAGAAAAATCTAAAAGAGAAAGAAAAATTGAAAAATTGTAGCGTTAAAGAAAACAAATTGAGGTATTGGAGTACGCTGTCAGATAAGGCATTAAAGCCAGAGGGCATGCTTGCAAGCTCGGTTGCGCCATCTCTTAGGGAGTGCCTAAACTTGCAAAGATCTAGTTTCGGTTTTGGAATTGTGCACCCGCATGGCTGTCGCTCATTTTGCCCTTTGATGCCACATCGTAGCATCAAGTTATAACGACACGGGACGAAAGCTAATGAAAAGAGGTTACTATTAAAACCCCAAAATAACAAAAGAATTCACTGATAAATATTTGAAACAAAGTTTGGTCATGCATTAGAAGCAATCGTTTGGTGGATTCTGTACATTCGTTTTACTTATGTAAAAATCAAATTGTGATGTTATTTCATTAGGTTACCCTTTCTTCAGTATAAGCAGTGTAAGCCCCCATAAATGACAACTTTCTGTCCGACACCGAAAATAGACACCGACAATGCAGGAGCGACAGTGCATTCAACACCGAATTTCCCCCCTAACAAAAAGAAAAAGAAAAGATGAAATACATATACAGAATGCAAACAGGCTGTAATTGTGCTGTGTATGTTTAGACAGTAAGAAGTTAGTCAGTTGCAATAGCCGTCTGGTGTCAATTTGTAGACAAGAAATTTTGCCAGTGCACTACGACTGCTAGCCTGGGGGTCTTTAACGTGCATCATGCAATATGACCACAGACCGGTACAATGCCCATCCAGATCAAAACAGTTAAGGCCCGTTCACACTCTTGCGACCGAGTACGACTGAGAGAGACGAGATCTCTTAAAACTTGTTAAATGTTTTTAGAATGAGGGAACACACTGGCATGGTGGCGCCATCTATGCAGTGACCCTGGAACTGCATTTCACAAGAGCGAAGGTTTTGCGGGATTTCCGAGGTCAAATGTGTTAATTGCCTTAACAAGTGTCCCTTGCAAAATTTTAGAGCACATAATCTATTCGCATCTCGTTAATTTTCTTAATTCCCATACATTCTTTTCTCCTGCTCAACATGGCTTTAGAAAACTGTTCTCATGCGAAACTCAGCTATTAACACTTACGCATAACCTTCACGCTTGCCTCGATCGTTCATCTCAGGTTGACTGCATTTTTTTAGATCTCTCTAAGGCATTTGACAAGGTTTCACATAGGCTCCTTTTGTATAAACTCAGTAAGCTGAACATTGACTCTCATGTTTTGACTTGGATCAACGCCTTTTTAACTAACCGTTCTCAATTTGTTCATGTTAATGGCATTAACTCGCACCCCTCTCCTGTGACTTCTGGTGTCCCCCAGGGTTCAGTACTCGGCCCTCTTTTGTTTTTAATATATATCAATGACCTTCCTTCGCATATCTCATCCTCAGTTGGTCTCTTCGCAGACGATTGTGTCATCTATTCTGAAGTAACTAACGATTTTGACGTTCTTGCACTCCAGTCTGACCTTGACAATATTTCTCGTTGGTGTGATAAATGGCAAATGGAACTCAATATTAACAAGTGCAAATCCATGAGAGTATCACGTCAAAATAACACCTGTCCCTCGTACCATATAAGAACTGTTGAGCTGGAATCCGTGTCCTCATTTAAATATCTTGGTGTTCATATCACTAACAACCTCTCATGGAACATTCATATTGAGTATATAATTAAAAACGCTAACCGCATGTTGGGCTTTCTAAAAAGGAACTTCTCTCTTGCCCCGCTGTCCTTAAAACTACTTCTTTACAAATCATTGGTCCGCAGCAAACTTGAGTATTCTTCCGCTATCTGGGACCCCGGTGTAACGCTTGCATTATCATTAGAAGCTGCTCAAAACCGTTCTGTTCGTTTCATACTGCATAACTATCATCGCACATCTAGCGTAACAGCAATGAAAACTACCCTAAACTTGTCTGACCTCTCCCTACGTAGAAAAATATCTCGTCTATGTTTATTTCATAAAATTTACCACCACAATGCAAATCTTCGTCAGCATCAGTTAACACAACCATCATACGTCTCATCACGTTTCGACCATGAAAATAAAGTTGGCATCCCTCAGTGTCGCACCTCAAGCTTTCATCAGTCTTTCATACCCATGACATCACTGGACTGGAATCGCCTTCCCGCACCTGTTGCCAGCATAGCCGAGAATGCCGGATTCAAAGCTGCACTTTGCGAATATTTTTTGGATTTTGGTTGACAGTGTTTTTTTGTTTTAACAATGTTCTGTTTTTGGATTTTTATGCTTACCCGCCTAATTACTGTTTGTCTTTGTGTGCAATTAGATGTGTGTGTCCACTCCCCTCTATAATGCCTTCGGGCCCTGAGGGAATGAATAAATAAATAAATAAATAAATAAATACCCATAGAAAGGCTCGTTTATAACATTGACAAAAGTTTTTCGAGCCAAGAAAGAAAGGATAATGCGCGAGAAATAAAAAAAAATATGCCGGACCGCCGAGTTTACAGTGCTTCCCAATAGATGGCGCCAGTGTGTTTTCTGGTTTAAGAAGTTTTAAGGAACCCAGGTTTAAGAGGTCGCAAGAGTGTGAACGGGCCTTTAGGGGTGGGGACTGAGCCCAGAACTCCTGGGTTCTACAGAGAAAGTTTTTGCTCCAAGTGCTTCAACCTCAACAGGCTTCTACAAACATTAGAAAAAGATATAGAAGGAAGCAATATAAAAAATAAAAAAAAAGATAGCCTTTACACACTTTATGTAAGACTTGTTTCTTTGTAATCCAAACATGCACAGCATGGTTGAGCAGAGGAAGCAAGTTTAACCAACTAGCTCACTCATTCATCTTAAAAATTATCTTCTTAGTTACATGAGCACGTCTTACCTCATGAATAACCAACTAAGCTTAGCTAATTCCCCTCGTAAGTTTTTCTTGTCTCGTAGTTTCTAACTGGGATTCGACAGCAAGAACTGACAAAATATGATGATGTAAATCTATATTAATAATACCCGGTAAACTCTGAGAAGAAAGTTTACTTACGTTTTTCAGGGCAGAGGACACGACTGAGGGTCATCATGAGCCCCCCGTGCATTGTCTTGGTAGGCGTTGGCTCTGCCTTGGAGGCAGGTGCGGCGTCCGCAGGTTTGGCTTGAGGCTGCACATGGGCAACACACACTGTTACAGTCTGCGCTAGACTCTGAACACAACATTTGACAGATTTTGCTTTCAACGAAAGTCCCACCCAGTAAGCCACGTGGAGCATGGGAGTGGCAGCCGCACAGTGCAAGAAACTATGAGTGCGAATTGAGCAATGCCGTTCGGCCATTTGCCGTTAGTGGTCCGTAGCATTGCTGTGGTGCGGACTCCCGTTCCGACAGCATCTGCAGCTACCTTTGCACTCGGCGATCGAAAACAGGTTTCAAATAAAATAAGGCTTATGTCTTCTCGGATAGGCCTTATTTTGCTTCGCTAAACAAAGTGCCCCTTCCGTTCTTCGTGAGAAATCTACTCTACTCCCGATCAGTTAACATAGAATTTGAGTATATGACAGGCTCCTAGGAGTTCTCCGATATCGAAATTCCTGAAAGTACTTCCTGTAATGTAGGCTCCCGTAAACCACTTCTTCCTGTAATGAATATCCTGCAATGCACTTCCTGTAAAGCACTGCCTGTAATACAGAATACTGTAAAGCACTTTTTGTAATGCTCATCCTATAATGCATTTCCTGTAAACAAGAGCCACACACGAAAATTCCCCACTATAAAAAAGCACCGGTGAAAGCGTGGAAGCAATCAATTTCAAACCAACTGCAATGAACAAAAGTGAGTTTGAGATGTTGCCTCAAGGCAGTGAACATAGGTATAGTGGGAGAGTGTGCAGAAGGCAAGGAAAAGAAAAAAGGAAGTCAAATTCAGGGGATTTAAGTGCCAAACAAACGAAGGCCTTTTGGCTTGTCCCAGCGTAGGACTGAGGATTATTTTGGACCACCCAGGGATCTTGTGACACGCAATCAAAAGCTCGGTTATATGGTGCCGTCTCCGCAACAAGCATCTATTGAATTGCGGGAACCTCAGCTGGGATTCAAACCTGCCACCCGGGGATCCGTAGGCCGGTGCTTTGCCTGGGTGCCACCGAGGTGGTGGGGGAAGAAAACAATTACATGCTTCGAAGGAACCGGGGAGATGTGAAATAGCAGGATCAAAGCTGGACTGTGCGGCCGCAAGAGACGCATACTTCATGTTCTACTTTCTCTTGAGCACTCGCTTTGGCAAGAGTCTTTTTCAGAGACACTAGCGACGCACAACGATGTTTAGGCCATCGAGGCACAAAGTGCACAGTAAGTTCATCTGCACAACATTACCACAAAGCAACACAAAACAACTCCTGCACTACCTCTCTCTGCCTCTGCCACAACAACAACAAAAAAAGAAAAGGGGGGAAGGGGGTGGTAAATTTCTTTTATTTTTCGATTTGTTTCTCCCAAGTTTAGGGTCGTAATTTGGAACCCGAGTCCACCCACCTTGTGATTGCTGGAGTCCAGCGTGTAAGGCTTCTTCTGCTGCGGCTGCACCTGGAGCTTGGACACCAGTGCCGTCACCTTCAGTGTCTCCTGGGAGTGTGCTCCGTCGCACTCCTCGGTCGGAGACAACCTGCGACGGAGACCCCCAGTGCGTCACCCAAAGTGTACAGTCTACGCCAGAACTGCCGACACCTACGGGCACCCTTAACCGCAGTTAAGTGTGACCGGGGTCAGACTTCACTGAGGTTAAGGGTGCTCGTATAACCCAGCTATAGTTGAAGGTAATTGCCAATCACACTTGAGCATAACTGCGGTTTAGGATGCGTGTTGAACAACCTTAACTGTAGTTAGGTCCGATCTCAGTCATGCATAACTGCGGTTAAGGGTGCCCCTGTCACTAGGGTATACACAATCTCATCTCTGTTACGTCGTGGCGCGGTGGTGGCGCGTCGGGTGCACTTCCGATCTGGGGCTGGGAGTCCCTGTGTAAGATATGTATTCCTGTGTTGTTTTGAAAGGAACCAGACGAAAACCTGCCTTCTCGTCAAAACGTCACGACTGAGGCTGTACCAAAAGAGTTGAGGAAGGTTTGAAGGTCAGTTTTCATGTGCTCGGTTCATCCGAGAGCGTGAATATGTGCCATGAAAATGGAAAACCAGATGCCGTCCGACCACAATTGCTTGGGTGGGAAGCACTTTGGGTTGAATTCACGGATACTTGTGGTCATCAGATTTATTTGTTTTGTTCCAACATGATTGCCGGAAAACTGTCAAGTTGTATGGACCACCTGTGGACTATGTTCAGTGCATCTTCAAGTTCGAACGGCCGCCTGATCGTTCAAACTGTCGTCTGCTCTTTAAAACGTTTCTGCTTGTCGTCTGCTCTTTTAGACGACACCGGCCTGTGGACCAAACATGGGCCCGGCACTTGTGATAAGAAGTAAGTGCAGGCCTCAAAAGACTTAGGATTGAAGGTTGGTAAGCAGACTCAATATAAACAGTAGATACAAGGAGATGTTGATCATTGTTACCAGTAGCCATCACCGTCTTGTTATGCCCGATTCACTTGGTCCGATTCTGCTTACGATTTTCAGTATCGACGTCGACCATCTCAGCTACAGTTCACGCAGCCCGAGCGACGTTGCGACTGAAAATTGCAAACGAAATCTCATCATGCAAATCAAGCTTTAGTGTACATTCTGCAGCGTCCACGCGGAATGAATCGCCGCATGTCACATTATTTACGCGAAGTTTTGCGGTGTAACGAGCCTCGGTAATTTCGCTGAGACTGCTCAAGTAGTCAGACATTGCCAGGAAGACGTAGAATCAACAATTCGAACGCGAAAAAGAGCAGCGGGACTCACACCGACGCCGAACACATCGCATTTCAATAAACTGTTTATGGGCGACGGCGAGCTTCTTGCCCACACCCCCATTGCGCATGCGCGGCGCCAGTGGCGTCCGCTAGGGGCGCTCCAGTTTGTTTGTAAACATGAGTTTGTGTATAAGCAAGCTACACTTCAGGGTAACGACACTTCAGCCATCTTGGTGCCTAAAATCATTGTTGCCAGTTATCCAAAACTTTATCTTAAACCGCAGGAAGCACTATTTTGTCCCTTGGAACCACTCAAAACAGTTGGCAACAGAGCAAGACGCCGTCGCCCGAGCTTCCTGGCATTGTACCTTAAGTTAAGAAAGTCGCATTATCGAACCGCAATGATCACCAATTGAGCCCGCTGTGCCCCGAACACCAAAATGGTGGCGCACCCAAGAATATTGGAAAACAGAACCCCGATGCTCTAAATGTATCTTATTTGGTGGCTCTAGTCTACGCTGGGCCTGTAATCTTTTAAGAGCTTTTATTGACTCCAGGGTGAGAGGAAATGGATTGTAGCATTCACCCTGCTGAGATCGAAGACGAAAATACGAAAAACAAACGTCCTCTATGCGTTTTCGACAGCGCCCCAACAGGTCGTGGGGATGCAAACCATTCTTTTACTTAATTTTTACAGCGGAGCTGTTAAGGGCTAGGTTCCCGAGGACGTCGACAAAAAAGAAGCACGTAACGAGCGCAGCGCTCGTCACGTGTGTTTCTTTTTTGTCGATGTCAGTTTTGCGCGCTGTTTCCTACACTCTCATCAGTTTCGGTTTGGACTTAGGACAGGTCGGCCGCGCGCCCTTTCGGGGAAAGAAGACTGCCTGTGGAAGGAGCGGCGACGTACGCAGCAGTGCGAATGGGTCCGTAACCGCCGCAGAGCTGCTGTCGCCTCGACTTCCACTGTGTCGAGCGCTTCAGATTCCCTTGCCAAAGAAGAGCACATTGCTCGCCTGGAAAGCCGCTGCCGAGAACAGAACCAGTGATGTAAAGGGCGCCGGCGGGCCAACGCCACGGACGACCATCGTGCCACAGAGGCCAAGTGCAAGCGCGGGGCCCGGCTACGACTGAACTCCATGCCGGCTCAACAGCTCCCGGGCGCGAAGGCGATGTTCCGGAGGGAGTTCGTGGATTACCCGTTTGGCGTAACATGTGCCGTGTGCGACCGACTCGGGGTCGCCGGAGACGTATCCACGATCGGCGGTGTGTGTCGGACGAGAAGAAGCGGGAAACTGGGCCGTGCGCGTTGCCGCAGTGTATTGAATACAGCTCCGCTGGTCTTCCTTCTTCACGAGAGTGGAAAGGCTGAACGTTTTTCCTCAAATTATTTTGACTTTGGATACATATTTTAGATTTGAGTTGTTAAAGCGAGGTTGCGGGTCATTTTTCTGATAAATTTATAAATGGTACTTGCGTCGCGAGACTCGTTCAAAAAATTCTTATCTTATCTCCCCTCCTTTTTTCCTTTTATTCAAATCCTGGGAGGTGGGCTGGCACGCACACTTGCGTACAGGTTCTAACCTTCCTGCACAGCCTTGCACGCCACCCAGGATCACATTTTTGTTTCGCAAATAATAATAATAATAATAATAATAATAATAATAATATATTATCATCATCATCATCATCATCATCATCATCATCATCATCATCATCATCATTATTATTATTATTATTATTATTATTATTATTATTATTATTAACTGAAAAAGCTGCTAACCAATATGTCAATCTAGGTCCGCTGCATGCATGCTTTTGCTACATCCTGGCGTCGTGTATTGATGTGTAATACTGTATAGTATCATGTTGTTTTTTTGTTGTTTTTTAACATATGATGGGTCTTCGTTATTATTGTTAGAATGCATCTGTTACTGAACGTTTTTTTTTCTTTCTTTGCATTTCGTCACTTGACTGCCGGGTCCTGTCCTTCAAGCCTCCTATTGGCTTCGACAGACCCGTCTTTGTATCTTGTCTCCACTTCATAAGATGAATAAAGATTATTATTATTATTATTCTGGCTGCTGAAGCTTTGGTGGACTGCCAAGCCAGAGAGCGAGGAGCGGCAGAACAAGCGTTGGCGACGTCCACCGCTGCCGCCGTGACACTGCCAGGATCGCGGCTGGCAACAGTGTGACACTCTTATGACGTCATCAAACGGAAATCAAGGGACACTCTTTAGGACATGGTAAACACACCAGTCAGAGACATGTTCCAGGCACCGTAATATTGCCACGTGCCTGGACGAATGCTACTTTGTACTTTTGGAAGATTTGCGTAAATTTACTCGTCTTACCCCAAATGATCCGACGTGCGATCAGAATGTTCAAGATACCAAGTGTAATAGACAAGGAGGCCGACGCAACTTTGTCGAGACGGTCTCCCGAGTGTTCGACGCTCAAACATTCTGGGCCGAATGTTCGAGAGTCTGAGTGTAGTAGATAAGGAGCCCAGCAGGGCCCTGCCGACTCGCTCCAACGCTCACACTCTCAGGCCGGCCAGCTGTCACACCAACACCTCGAAGCTCACTGCTGCCGCTTTCGGCGCTCGTTCTTTCTTTTGTTTATGGCACAAGTTCGCCAATTTGACCGTTATATTCAGGTTGACGCCCGTCGATACCTTCCCATCCACGACAATATTGCACCACAAAATGTTTTCTTTTTTTGGGGCAAGTTTATTTTGTAACATACAAGACCTATCCTGGAACAAAAAAGAAAGTCTTTATGGTGGGGTTTTCTGTAAAATGTAGAGGCCAGAAGTGACCTTGAATGGGGACGCACCTTGCGACGGTTCTGGTGGCCAGGTGGTCTGGCACGGAGACGTCGGCGAAAAAGGGGTGCTGCAGCACCTGTGCCACGCTGGGCCGGGACTCCGGGTCTGGATGCAGCATGGCGGCGATGAGCTGCCGGGCGGGCTCGGACAACGAGGGCGGGATGGTGTAGGCGTTGCGCATGATTCGCTGGTATGTTTCGCTCAGCGTGGACGTCTCGAAGGGTGGGTAGCCCACCAGCATCGCGTACCTGCCCCCACGGACGGCAGTTAGTGCCTCGTCGAGGACGCAGTAAATCCAACTTTTGCCCTCCCAGGTGGTAGTAATGGCATCGCTTTGAAATCCTAATGTATTGTGTGTTCTAAACTATTATAATCCACAAACTATACACGCTTAAACAATTTAATTTTATTCATCAAAAGGATCTGCTTTTCGAAGGATTGTTTGTTACGAAGAGAAGGGAGAAATCACGTGAACCACAGATTATATTAAAGGGATACTACAACGAAATTTTTGCGCTCATTTTTTTTGTCTATATGTGTTCAAAGGAGCAGCATCACGTCGAACATACCAATATCTTGTTAAAAAAAGTCACGAAACGGAATATTAAGACGAATTAAACGATTAGCAAAGAGCACCTGGTGGATGTCGCTAACGTTTCGCTTGTAATGCCCGTCTAGGAACCTTGACAGCCAGTGACAAAGGTTGTCTCGTCTCCGGCCACAACGAGAGAAGAGAGGAAGGAGGAACTCCCCTCTTCCCGAGAATGCCTTTTGTGTGTCACAGAAGTCGCTATTGTCCCCCTACAAGATTATAGAAGATTAACCCGCCACTCAAAATTCGTAGAAAAGCAGCCGCTTCGGTGGCTGGAGTGACTAGGCCATCCTCTCGACATCAGCCTCGCCGTAGCTTTGCTCGTCCTGAGACGACCTACGTCACGATTGCGTTGGATGTCACGTGCTCTAAGCTGGGCCTTCTCCGAGTGCTTGCCAGAGTGGGCCGTTTATAACGAAAAATACAGCCACCAGGCTCAAGATACAAACGTGCGATTGTCATTTACGAATATTGTGGATCATATGCAACCTATTTTAGAACACGACGGGAATATTTCAAATTTCGTTGAAGTATCCCTTTAATAATAATATTAACAAGTATAATAATAATCTTTATTTCCCATTTTCAATGGCGAAGACCAAGGAAAAAAGCCGCATATTAACAATAATTTCCTTAGGATACAAGCTTACAATATTTTGCAAATAAAACAGGCATTTGTAAGGGAGTGTTTACATGCAAACTATCTAAAGAAAATATTTGTTTTTGAACTAAAATTTACTTTTGAGGACTATGGCTTGGGTGCAGATTATACTCCGGAAAACATGGTACTAAACACACGACACCAAAAAGTATTAATAGAGTATTAAATATTTTTTTTAAAAAGTAACTCTTTATTTTCACAATACTCTCAAGTTACACATTTTTCTACAATTTCATCAAACAACTATAATTACAAATCAAGCGAATATGAAACTGTCACTGGCCAAAATGCCTCGTTTGTACGCATAAAAGGTGCTTCTCAAAGTTTGAGTTGATGGCTTGTCCCTCTCCATGTAAATGCAGGGGTCTCCGAAATATCAAAGGTGGAATGTATGCAATTGTGCATGCCCACTGAGAGGGTAAGTGTGGCAGGATTTGATTCGATTTGATATTTATTTGAGCCTCCAGCACAAGCTTCATAGCTTCCACAATGCTGCAAAATCTCATGCACCTCGAGCATGTGCGTGCAGCCGAAGCATAGCGGAAGGCACGGAGCCCACGCTGGAGGCCGGACATTCGAAACACGCGTCCTGTCGTTCTCACTCCGTCAGTGACTACAGCTAAAACAACTCACATGATGCAACCCATGGCCCAGACATCGGCGGCAAATCCGTGACCTTGCATCTTGAGCACCTCCGGCGCTATGTAGTTGGGCGTGCCACATACGGCGCTGGAAATGGGAGTCACAAATGGCTTGGGCGATTCCATGAAGTACAACAGTTAAAAACACCACTGTTTCTCTTTACTATATTGGCGACACGACACAGACCATCGCTTCCCCGCACTCCAAAGCATTGGGAGAGGGACCAAGGACCACTATTGAGGATGTGGCTGCCTGCTTTCTAGGTCTCCCAAACCATTGCTTTTGCAAGGGTTGGGTACTTAAATGTAACTACCCTTTTTAGTCCTGCACAAGCCGCATACAGCCAATCGCTGCATTCCACACAAAAGAAGTAGCGAGTAACGATGTCGAGAAAACGATTTTCCGTAAACATGCAACCTGCACAAACGTTATCTCTGTCCCATAAATAGCGGGCATCTTTCTGTCTATCGCAGTGGTTAGATATCCTAGTACTCAGCGGAATAGCAGACTCACAGGCTTTGTTCATACAGAGTGCGTCTATTACTCGAGTCAATACGGTATGTAGGCATAGTGTTACAACCAAACAGTTCTACTCAAGAAACGCGGAACAGAATCGGCAACTGAGGGATATATAACTGAGCCAATAGACCTTTCCGAGAATTCAACTTCATCTAGTGGATCAAATATCACTCAAACTTTTTCAGGTTAATGACGATAAAAATGTAGCACTTCATTGGGCACCAGGACTCTAATTAAGCAATGGCAGGTGGGAACAGGTTCTGTGCTGTACAGCCCTTTCTCGGTTCGTTTCAATTTCGATGGCGCCAAAGAAACTATCCCTTTCTAAAAAGCACTGACTTGAGTAAAGCCCTCACTAGAATTGACCACAACAATAGGGATTGTGGGTGGAGTTTGAATCAAATGATTGAAAGTATACTAATAGAGTTAGAAGGCGGGCTAATCGGTGCATATGGTAACAGGTAACAGGAGAAAATGGCGCAAAAAAGACACAAGGACAAGTAGACGAACGACACAAACACAGTACTGTGTTTGCGTCTTTCGTCTACTGCTCCTTGTGTCTTTCTTGCACCGTTTGAAATAAACCTGCACACAGTGCTAATGCCCAATCTGTGATCCACAGAAAGCTAATGTCTAGAGTGCTCGAGCTTTCCGTTATCCACTTTGGAGCATGTCTTCAACTCTTTCCTTCATCAGCCATCAGAAGGTTGCCTTAGCATGCGACAGATATCATACACTTGTGCTGTGCTCCAAATCTTATTTGAGTAGATCTGAGCTACGACCCCAGGTTATGACACGGAATACCACAAATAGAATGACGCTGGACCCGAGTAAGTTTTTAATGCTAAAGTGCAAATCTTTTACTCAAGGGCAGTTTGCCAATCTCTGCGGGTATCTGAACTAGCGAGTAAAATAGCCGCAAGAGGGATTTTTAGGCGATGCGACCGGCTCCTTAGAAAGAAATTACCTAGCGTTCCAGCTGATTCTGATTGGCAGAAGCAAGCCTGCCGTTTTCTTTCATTCTCACTCAACTCGGCCTTCTCCAAAAATAGCTTTACACGGTGCTCCCAAAGTACACAAACGCAGTTCATTTCACTTTGAGCCTCTTCACCCTTTTTCTGCACAAGGAATCAGTTGTTAACATTCAAAGCGAGTACAGATTTATGGCAGTCATTTTGCTGTAACGATGGTACCCTTAGTCTACTGTCCTCACGGAGCTGGTCACATGACCTCGAAATCCCTCTTGCAGGCAAGTTGACTCCTGGGGAAGATAGCCGCAGCGATCAGCAAACTGGCCCTGGAGCAGACTGAGCAAATTTTTTAACATGACCTCAAATGATGATAGTGATCAAAGTGGTTAGGCTGAATTTTGGAAAGGGTCCATCGCAGCTACATCGGCCGTGTATCTGAGGCGAAGCGGCGGAGGGTGGACTTACTACTTCTTGGTGACTTCGGAGGTGAGCCGTGTGGCCAGACCGAAGTCCGCGATTTTGAGCCTGAGGTCTTCGGCGAGCAGCATGTTGCCCAGCTTGAGGTCCCGGTGCACCACCCCCTGGCCGTGCGTATACTGCACCCCCTCGGCCAACTGGCGCATGAAGTGGCGCACCTCCGACTCCGTCAGCTGGCCCCTCTGCTTCAGCAGGTGCACAAGCGACTGCAAGGGCATGCACACGCTCGGGTCACACGCACGGATGTCTGTGCCGCTGACGCTATGCGTCATAACGTCACGTGACACTATGACATACGACGCTCTGACGTCACGTGACACTGATGTTACATCATGATGTCACGTGATATCATGTGACATTTACAGGGCCAGCTTCAAGGATTTTGTGTTCGAGGAATGTAGTTTTGATGACGTCAATGTCACGTGACTTCGTGAAGTCACATAAAACTATGGTGATGGCTTCATGATGTCTTGGACACTATGACACGTAATGCTCTGATGTCGCGTGACACTGACGTTACGTCATGATGTTACGTGATGTCATGTGACACTGACGTTATGTCATGATGTCACGTGATGTCACGTGACACTGTGATGTCACATATGACACTAACATCATGTGATGTAATGTGACACTTATATCACATGACATTGTGACATCACATGATACCATGACATAGTTAACCACTGTGATGTCACATGATGCTGTGACATCATTGACCTAATGATATCATCTGACATTGTGACTGCTTTATATATTCACAAAACTTTCACAACATGCTCTTGAATGGGCTTCTTACTCTGTATGCAAAAGGAGAAGCATGAAGAGGCCCTAGAAATGCTACACATTTGAACACCTTTGGGAAATGCCAAAGAGACGGCCAGTTTCTCTTTTACATGTAAACATTTTTGGAAACAAACTTTTTGTCTCCCTATAATGGACGACTCATATTACAGACAATCTTTTCGGGGGAACAGAGGTGTCCATATTAACAAGACATCACTGTACACTGATAAACCAGTCAAGGTAATAAGGAGGACACAAGTCTACCAAATTTAATGAAATTTAGCGTTACTCCCGAGCTCGCAAAAACCTCGTAAATAAACTCCCAGAGTGGCTCAAAACACACTGCTCATTCAATGTGTTTCCCAACTTTATCCATTACATTAAGATATAATCTTTTTTTTAAAAATATGTGTCGTGATTTTATGGAGGCTCAGGGAGCTAGGGCATCTTAATGGGAAGCGTCGACTGGGTAAATCTAATAAAATGCGCTTAGAACTAAGAAACAAACTGTCCACTTTATCTGATTAAGTGGCATATATTTAGATAAAATGGGAACATCAGCAAATGTTTTCTTTGTATCACATGTACTGTTGTCACAACTTAAAAAAAAGAAAATCGACATAAAAAAACTTTACAGCATCAATGAGCTCAAGACTATACGAATCCTAAGCCCAACTATGTGAGCACTAAAAATGATTTCCAAGGAGTAGCTCATGTTTATGACATCACGTCAAGTGACGGTGCTTTGCATAGGTGCTTTGCTTTTTGAGAAAGGTTTTCTGCATGTAAATAACATTCTCAGCCTTGTGAGCAAATGCTTATAATCATAAATTGTAATCAGTTTGATCTGTAAGTACTTGCTTGTACGCGCATAAAAAGTGCTCTCAAAGTATTGCTTAGGGCTCACTGCTCAACTGTGTCAGAACGGTAGTTTCCGTGCATTACATGGCGCCTTATCCCTGGGGAATGCCTGTTGCATTCCTTTCACAAATTTCTAATGTTTTAAAGATAAAAGTTGCCACAGAAATTGTTTTAAACTTCTGGGAAGACACCAATTACAATATTCATAACTAAGTGTGCGATATTCACTTCAAGATCTCTTTGAAAAGACTAGATTTTTCGAAAGACGACAATCTTTTTGACGTACTGCTGACTGTCACTTTATATGTTACAAGGACAGAGCTGGGATTTTCTACAACAATGACGACAAAAGAACACATCAGAACGGTGTGAACAAGATCCAACTAAGAAGCTACACTTGGGAACCCGCCAGTTTCAATCAATCCAGAGACTCCTACACAAATTTTTCTTGTGTGTTTTCTAGGTTTTTTTAAACACTTCCTACACAATTAAAGTTTTATAAATGGTTAAATCAACAAAATATTCCTGCAAGACTGAAACATTTCTGCCAAACAAAATAAATGAGTCTACTCACTCAAAAATAAATTTAAAAAATCAGTTCTATGCAACACTGTAATGTATCATGAAAAGGCAGCCAGCTATGCGGTGCACTCTTTTTCTTTAATCCATGAAGACTAATTTTTATAAAAAGCTATAAATGATTTTTAAAAAATATTTTCCGATGCATCAACATGAAAAGATTTTTGTGTCAAAGAAAAGAAAAACATTGTTGCAGGAGGATGGGGCATTTTATAGACGAAACAGGGAGCAGGAGTGAAGTAAGAACTATCTTCATAACTTTCTTTTCTGTTTTCATGCCCACTAGAATGTTCTCTTGTTTTTTTCAATGACTTCAACACATTGCACATTTGTACTTGAAATGTTTCCTTCCATATTTTCACAAAACAAAATCAAAAATGGATGAACCATTGCTAAAAAAAGACAGTGGTATAGAAGAATACAAAATGATCTTTGCTATTTACTGAAAACGAGTTCGATGTGCCCGTGCCCACGCTGTAGACGAATTCCAGCAAGGTAAGCTCAGCTGGCAGAGCAAACTTGTTCTTAAATAATTGTGCATTTACGAAAATACAGCACACAGGCAAGCTGGGAGAATGAAGAGTTTAGATTGCTTGTTGGGGGCCTTTCTCAGTCAGGACTACTTAGTGGAAGTTTGGCGTGCGAGGCGCTGGGTGAACACTGGAGCTTCGTTGATGTGTCACGTTTCAGACCAGCTTATTTTAAAGTACAGAAGCATTTGTCCAGTTAAGAAGGTCGTTTGCATTCTCTTTTGTTGTGAAAGTGTGGTTTTTTGCACATGTCCTTGAAAACAGGACGTTCCGCAGCTTGGTGGCACTGTGGTTGCGTGTAGACAAGGAAGATAATTAAATAAACGCCTTAGCAGAGTTTGAGAGACTCTTCTGATGGGGCCCTAGCACCCATTTCTTTTTTCTACAACCGTAATCTTTATCTACCATCTTCCGCAGTCTCGGGTTAATGTCACTATGGTGTACATTTACCTGGCGACGTGCCACCTCTCGCTGCTTACCTTGCGGGGGCAGTATTCTAGGATGATGTAGATGTTTTCCGAGTCTCCAAAGAAGCCGTGAAGTCGCACCACATTCTTGTTCACCAGGGGGCGGTGTAGGTCAATCTCACGGAGGATCTGTAATTCAGAAGCAAACCACTGAGCCAAACGACTTACTACCCATCTTTCTTTGAGCAAACCCGATTCCCTGGTTAGGCACTGCACCAGAGCTCCTCTGGGACCGTGAACGCTGACACTATGCTCCATTCAGCCTTAAGCTGGCAGTGCAGTGGAAGCACCATGCTCGTTTGAAAAGTCAAACATGTTTATTGTTCACCATGTGACTGCGTTCTTGCCTGCACTGGTGCGCAGAGAGCAGGGTCTGGTGATGAAAGGTAGGCGGTCGATTTGTCTGACAAGCACGTAGCTTTCACTGCACTGTCAGGTTAGGGATAAACAGTGCACCTGGCTGTATCACATTTATTCATTTATTCCGCTTGTGTTGCTACCATAGTTGCCCCTTTAACCAGTATGGTGGATACTTGCAGGACAATGAATAAATAAATAAACAATTTTTTATGGCCAAAATATATAGTTTTGCTCGACATGGAAGCGTGGACGGTAGAGCATGGAGAATAGAAGGGTAGCAGAGGGCATGACGTCAGCCGCGTAACCTCCACAAGCCATGCTCCCTTGACGCCTCGCCTCTTTCTCATTTTCCTCCTTACTCACATCACATCACGTGATCGCAGCTAGCCTTCGTCTAGCCTTTGATCTGTTAAAACCTACCGGACGGAGCGTGCGCAAGCCTGCAAGGAATCCTCCTAGAATCAACCATCCATCTCACACGTGACATGTCACGCGCACCAATCGCCAGACAGATCTGCGTTCACGCTGGGCACAGAATCGTTTAAACTTTTTATGACTAGGCTTCAACAATATTGCAACATGCCCCCTCCTAGTACTTCTAACCTCCTTGCGGTAGAGGAAGTGAAATCGAAAGGAGGCACGCAGCCACCCACTCTGAGAATACAGACACACAATAAAGTGTTTCCAAATCTAAAAAAAAAAAAAAACCAAAAAACATATCTTTTTTTTTTTTTTTTTAATTTACAGCACAAGAGCATTACCTCTTAAACAGGTACATTAAATTGGATAAGCTTATTGCTGACCCCTCTCCACCTCAACACAGCATAATTAAAGGGCCCATGAAACGATTTTTGGGTTGGAATAAATCATTTTAGATTGGGATTTTACTAATAGCACATCGTTCAGTGGACCAAAAGAAAAAAAGGTAGAAAGTCAAAAGTCTGACTTTCAGTGCGAAAATTTTAAAACAGAGCGGACTATTTCGTACCTCCTCCCCTTCGCAACCTCTCTGCCTTTTCACTGTGATACATCCGCGGTCCCAAAAGCGCGTCATCGGGTCCAAACTGACGTCACACGCAACCCGTAAGCTGACATTGTGCTGGAAGCTACGCGCTTGCCGGACCAATCAGCCGCCTCCCTTTCATCACCTGACTTCATTCTCTGCAGCCACATTTGCCACGTTCACGTAGCAAGTGTGGCTGGCCCAACGAGCACGTAGCTTCAACAGCACGGTCAGCTTCGGAATAAACGGGGTGGGGAAAGCAACTTTGTCTGAATTTTGAGCGACGGGCTAATCTTCTAGGGGGACAATGGCTCTGTCCGGTTACACAAACCAGATTCCGAGCGAGAGGGGCCTCCCTTCTTTTCGTCTTAATGTTTGGTGGAATGCGCGATTTATGAGTTGAGGAGGAAAGCTAAACAGGAAAAAGTTGGAAAAGCGTTTCATGACCCCTTTAAAGCGAGACATTTAAAGTTGTTTGCAAGCTACCCAACCAAAAAACAACGAGATAAATGTTTGTTTTAGTGACCGTGCAAACCAAAATTCTTATTGATCCTGCCAGCTTTCCCTCTCCTTACTTGTTGCGCCACCATTTGTTGCCTTTTCGGGCAGACTAAATGCTCTTAACCATTTCGTCGTTTACCCTGAGACTGGGGGGTTTTTTGAAGAGAAGAAGTAACAGAAAAAACAGACAGGTCTCAAGCTCAGCTACACGTTTATTTCAACAACTTCCTCTTATAGACCGACACGCGGAGCGGCTCTGTTTACCAACACGGCCGGAAGGCCGCGCATGCGCGGTAGCTATGTGGGCAAAAGCATCCCGCCTCTCCGTGTTTTCGCCATTGCGCTCTATGGCGTGCGCTCGTTGTTGACGTTGTAGGGACGCTTGTATCTTTATTTGTGCGTCGTATTTCTTCATAACGTATGTCGTATGCTATGCCCGACTATTTGAGCTCGTTGCCCGAGCCTGAACGGTAGCGGTATCGAAACAAACTGTGCGTGGACGGCGTTGCCTACGAGGATCCGAACGCCGTAAACAGTGCTGGACTTCCGACGTAAAGTTGCTGGCACGGAAGTCGACGGCTCAGGTCGTCGTTTATTTAGTTTTCGCCAAGTCAGTTCACGGCCGACACGGTGCAGGCCTACAAGTCTCTCGAGGCCTACGATTACATCGAGTCGGTTTCCGCACTGCCGGCGGGATCAGCAGACTGTGGGTCTGCGGAAGTGTGTGTATTCATTAATTGATTAAATACACAGACCGTCTTCAAGTCAAGGTATGATATTTTTCATACCCTCGTGACCACAAGGCTTTACAACCAGTAAAGGTTTGTCCGTTCTGCAGTCTTGGCGGTAACAGGTTACAAGTAACGGCGTTACCAGGGACGCGTCACTTTTTTCAGTAACGTATACCTACTCGTTACGTTTTCGACACAGTAACGGGTAACGTACTTATGTTACTATTTCAAGTAACGTAGTTACGTTAGTCGTTACTACTTCCCAAGCCTTAAAGAAATTACACTTCAATTGTTTCCGTGTTTTAGGCGTCAAGCCATGTTTTCTTTGCGTTTTTTCTCGTGTAAGTATTTAGGTGAAACCATAAAAAGAGATAAAATATTTATGTTCAGCTTCTGCTTGATATATGACCTGTATCGTCAAAACCGTAAAATGTGTTAAATCATAATTTAAAAAAGTAACGCAGAATCAGAAGTAAATTGCGTTACTTTTTATCGGTAGCGGTAACGCGTTCTTTTTATTTTTAGGTAACGTAGCTCACTAACGCGTACCTTTTATTTGCAAGTAACGAGTAACGTATTTCGTTACTTTTTTTTCGGTAACGCCTACAGCACTGCCGTTCTGTCGCTGTTCCCCTTCTGCTAGGTAGCACGGGCATAACGAGCCTCCGACGAGCGCTTGGCCGGTGCTTTGTGCGCGAACACCATGGGAACAAAATCCGGGTGATCTCGATCAGACAACGGTTTCCCTGCACATAAGCAAGCCTCGGGACGGAGATTGAAATGGAAGCCGCACTTGCCTTCAAGAAAGTGTTTGCCGCACAAACGGTCGTTCGCGCGAGGCGACCATATACTTTTCGATCCACGGATATTATCCACCTTCCATGCCTTTCAGAGTCTACCGGGAACTTGTAGAATCTCACTCTGATGCTTTTCTTGTACATTTTGGCGCAATTAACGGCAACACAGCTTCGCGGCATGCTGAAATGCTATGACGCCCATGCGAAACGTGCGCGCTTTTGCCCACACCCCCCGGCTCCGGCGCGATCGCAGCGCCGCCGCAGCTCCGTGACGTCAAGCCCGCGTGTCGGTGTATATAGTTCGTTTTCGTCGTCAACAACCAATCAACCCCACCCCCCCCCCCCCCCTTCTCCTTTTTTTTTTTTTTTTTGTTGGGTGGTTGGTTGTAAATAAAAACGAAGTTGCGGTGCACCAAATGCTCTTGGTGCACCGCAACTTCGTTTTTATTTACAACCAACCACCCAACAAAAAAAAAAAAAAAAAAGGAGGGGGGGGGGGGGTTGGGGGGAGTAAGACAATTGTTTGATTGTACAGGGCGTGGACCGCGTGCATACCGCGTGGAACAGAGCCGTATCTGGCGTCGACCACGGACCAAAGCCAAAGCGAGGGAGGAAGCATCGAGCGAGGTTTGGCGTTTCCTCCGAGAGATGGCACAACAAGTCTGCCCGTTGACGCCGTTATGTTCTCGACTTTGCGGGTTCTCCAAACCTATGGAATCACCCCCCTTTAAGTGGCACTTGTCTTTCGTGTAAATTAGTTATATAATTCTGAGAACTAGTCATGGACTGAGTAAATGAAAGCCATAAACAATGTAAACTCGAAACTTGGTCAACCGATGTGGTAATTATTGAGTGCACCTTGAAAACCGCCTCCTGCGACGCCCTGGATGTACCGCCTCGGTAGCGCAGTAGGCAGCGCGTCAGTCTCATAATCTGAAGGTCGTGAGTTCGATCCTCACCCGGGGCAGGCGGTCAATTTTTTTTTTTTTTTTTTTTTTCGGTGCGGTTTACATAAAATGTGTCTTATACATTTTACAAATATTTCTTATTTCGTTATACTGCGAACGTTTAAGACCCACAAAAGTATATCTTATTTTTCTCTGCGAACCACGCCTTGTCGCTTTTGTGCGCAGCATGTCGCTTTTGTGCGCAGTATGTCGCTTTTGTGCGCAGTTTGTCGCTTTTGTGCGCAGTTTGTCGCTTTTGTGCGCAGTTTGTCGCTTTTGTGCGCAGTTTGTCGCTTTTGTGCGCAGTTTGTCGCTTTTGTGCGCAGTTTGTCGCTTTTGTGCGCAGTTTGTCGCTTTTGTGCGCAGTTTGTCGCTTTTGTGCGCAGTTTGTCGCTTTTGTGCGCAGTTTGTCGCTTTTGTGCGCGGTTTGTCGCTTTTGTGCGCGGTTTGTCGCTTTTGTGCGCGGTTTGTCGCTTTTGTGCGCGGCTTGTCGCTTTTGTGCGCGGTTTGTCGCTTTTGTGCGCGGTTTGTCGCTTTTGTGCGCGGTTTGTCGCTTTTGTGCGCAGTTTGTCGCTTTTGTGCGCAGTTTGTCGCTTTTGTGCGCAGTTTGTCGCTTTTGTGCGCAGTTTGTCGCTTTTGTGCGCAGTTTGTCGCTTTTGTGCGCAGTTTGTCGCTTTTGTGCGCAGTTTGTCGCTTTTGTGCGCAGTTTGTCGCTTTTGTGCGCAGTTTGTCGCTTTTGTGCGCAGTTTGTCGCTTTTGTGCGCAGTTTGTCGCTTTTGTGCGCAGTTTG